ATAGTATTAAAAAGCATCAACTTGCCGCACTGCCTAACTCAGAAGGATTTTCCGGAAACATTAACAAGAGAAAAAGGCAACATGCTATAGAAGTATGTGCTTCCATCTCTACGTTATCTCATTTTGTAAAAAAAAAAAAAAATTGACAAAAGTATATACGGATCTGTGAACAGTACATATCTCTGTGTTCTCTGCGTGCGCATCTTATAAGTATGAAAGCACGTGCACATACTAGTCATTAACATGGGTTTCTGGGGGTGGGGTGCCGATGTGACTGCAGTGGAGGGGCAAAGGATAAAGCTTGTGCTTGTGCTTTCTCCCATAGAGGATGCCGCCCCTGCTTTCCTGACCACACCCTTCCCTTCCTCGACCCATCTCACTTCCTCTCCATCCCAGGCTAGGAAATGTCTTGCTCCAGACAGCCATCTCCCAGTATTCCCGGGAGTACCTGGAATTTCTGCAGCACTTCCTGTGTCTATCACCCTGATGAACCTGTAATCACATATTTATTTTCTATTATTTGCTGTTTTGCATTCATGTATGTCTCACAACAAGGCAATACAGGGCAGTGATTAGGAGCATGGACCACTGAGTCAGACCACCTGGGTTTGAATCCCAGCCTCATCAGTTACTTATTAGCTGTGTGAACTTGGCAAGTGACCTATTTTCTCTCTGTCTCCTCATCTGTGAAATGTGAATAAAATAGCACCTACTATAGCGGTGCTATGAAGAGGAGGTGGCCGAACACCCATCAGAAACCTAGAACAGTGCCTAGCACGTGGCAATGCCAGCAGGTGGGAGCGGCTGTTGTCAGGATCACTGTGATCTTCCCTATCTAGGCTGGAAACTCTTGGAGGTATTTTAAACCACAGACGCTCTTTTAGATTTCTTTTGCATCCCTTCCCCATTAGTTCCCACAACAGTGTTATTTTGAGGCCTTCGAATATTTGTTGAGTAAATAAATGGGCAACTCTTAGATTTGAGCGGTTTGTACAGAAGGAGATTGCTGAGCATTTAATTGTCACTTACATGGCAACCAGCAAGTAAATGTCCATGTCTAACCTCACCTGGCACTTAAACCTATTTTGTCAAGGAGGAAGAACATTTGTCTTAAAAATCAGTCTTCTAGAATAGCACAGAAAGGCCTTGCATTTCTACTTCACGAAGCCACACAAGGAAGCTGGCTGTGATACAGTAAAGAAACCCGAGCCACCGGGGGTGAGAACAATGGAACCAGCCTCCTAAGCTTAGTGATTTACCATCAGCCCTTTTGTAACATATTACGTCTGTTTAATATGAAATAAATGCATCAGGTAACACATTTCTCCAAAGTGCTAAATGAGATGCATTTGAACCCTTAAATAACAGCTGTCGTTGTCCATTCCCTGGGGTGTATTGTCCAAGCTGATCTAATGATGGATTTCTTTCTCAGGAGGTTTAAATGGGTCTGGGGCCTTGAGGGCCAAGAAAGTATTGTGATTTAGGACATAAAGAAAACACTCAACTTCTCGATGCCATCCTCTAGACTCTCCCTGCCTTGCATGTTGAGGTTCTCCCTCTCAGCTGGAGCTATCCATCAGCATTTTAACATGCTTACGTTTCTTTCTTCTTAAACAAACAAAAATGCCCCCTTCAGCCACCAGCTCCTCGGTGCACGGCCAGACTGGGGGAGAAGCAGCATACACTTCTCATGCCATTTTCTCACTTCCCACCTGCTCCTCAATCCATTCATTTGGCTTTTGCTCCATCAACTCACAAAAATGCACAGCAACTGACTTCTGCGCCACTACACCCCATGTCCTGCTCTCACTTCTCTCCCCTGAGAGGCCTCGGGGCCTCTCTGCATTTCTCACCCAAACTTCCTTATTCCTATTCCCCCCTTGCAGTTTCTAATGTCAACAAAGAGGGTGTAACTTTCCACGCCTTTTTGCTATATAAGCAAATCTATAATCCACAGCTATGAGTGTTTATACATTTTATTTTACTGAAATCACTGGTCAATTACTTTATGATTTCCTTTTTTATTTGACATTATATCCTAGATAGTCTATAAATCAGAAGATGCATTTCTAGCTCTATCTTTACATTTTTAATTTGAGTGTATAAATGTATGTACATTCAGATGTAACTTTGTTAGGTTACCATGTTAGATCAGGTCATTACAAATTAGAGAGAAAAACTAGACTTTGCATCGGGGGTGCTCTTGAGAGTTTCCAGTGGAGGACTAGTAGTGGTGAAAGTTGTGGGTGCACAGATTTCAGCTCAACGTGAGTTATAGTGAGCATAATTTACCCTGGCCTCAGGCCTCATCCCACTAGAGCCACTTTTTTTTGAGATGGAGTCTTGCTTTGTTGCCCAGGCTGGAGTGCAGTGGCAGGATCTTGGCTCACTACAGCCTCCGTCTCCCAGGTTCAGGTGATTCTCATGCCTCAGCCTCCCGAGTAGCTGGGATTACAGGCACACGCCACCATGTAACCAGCTAATTTTTGTATTTTTAGTAGAGATGAGATTTCAGCACATTGGCCAGGCTGGTCTCTTAACTTCTGGCCTCAAGTGATCCGCCTGCCTGGGCCTCCCAAAGTGCTGGGATTGCAGGTGTAAGCCACCGTGCCTGGCCCCATTAGAACCATTTATCTTTAGAGTCGCTAAGCAGTTAACTGAAAACAGTGGTTTCATTTTCTCTGTTTTGAGTCTAAATATTAAATGAAAAAAAATTTACACTGGTAAGCAGGATAAGGCACGACTTCAACACCTTGCAAATAATTTCGCTGTCTCCTTCAGAGCAGTCACCTTGGGAAGTGATAACTACATTCCACCAACAGTGCTGCTTCTCAAAGAATTCTTAGAAATTTCCCTTTAGCCTAAGATCTGTTTCTTTCTTCCCTCCAATTTTGAAAGGTAACTACCTTTCAAAAGTATATAAACGTAATGCTTGTCCCAGTGAAAGCTGAGTAAAACCCAGACAAGACTGGCTGTGCCGGGACTGCCCCTGCTGACCCTGGCGATGCCCAGTGAGGCCTACCTGGGAGAAGGAGCCCCCATCTACTGCCCAGAACTCAACACAGAGTCCCATTTGGCCCAAATGACAGATCCTTTCCTTATACTTTTCCAACTAAACCTCTTCTAGGAATCTTCTGAAAATTCTAGCTATCAAATTTGAAAAAGCATTTTCAAATATCAGCCTCTTAAAAGAGTGGCAAAAGTCCAGAAAATTAAGACTTCTTTCTGTATTTGTTCATTTATAGTAGACAATAGCTTTCAGAAAGAAATGTCCAGAAGTTGAGTTCTCATCATTAACCGGAACAGTTGAACCAAATGAATTTTCCCTTATAAGATGAAAACAGGATTCACAGCAAAACCAAAGCAAAACAGAAAACCAAAGCAGACCAAAAGACCCAAAGGGATGATACAGGAAGGGAAAAAAACAAATCTGGAGAGGAACTTTTGGACACAATGAAAAAAAGTTGTTAAAACTAAATAATTAAACCTTCATTTACACTATCACACAGAATGATACTGAAGGGAGAGGCACAAAGGTGGTGACTGATTACAATCAAGAGAAGGCTTCCGAGTCCAGAACTGTCCGGGGGCTGGCAAACCCTGGCCCAAGCTTCAGATGCCTGCTTTCCTAAGCCTGCCAGCTAAGAATGATTTTTTTGTTTCTAAATATTTGAAAAAATATTTAATGACATACAAAAATTGTACAAAATTCAAATTTTTAGTGTCCATAAATAGTTTTATAGGAACATAGCCACATTCAGCGACTTATGCACTGTTGACAGCCACTCTGTGTTACAAGGGCAGAACTGAGTGGCTGGAACAGAGGCTATGGCCTGCAGGCCCTAAAATAGTTCCTATCTTCTTTTTCACAGCAAGTGTCTGCCAACTCCTGTTCTCAACCTGATTTTCCCACCATCCACTCTCTGTGTGAGTTCAAGCTGGTGTTTTTCCCTCTGGCTCCACTTTGGTAAACCAAGGGGCCTAGAGAAGATGATGGCCAGGCCCCCTGTCTGGAGTCAAGCTCTGCACTACTGGACAAGGCAGGAAGAGCCAGCAGGAGCACCACCCGCTGATGCCACCTGCAGCCCATGAAGAAAGCCGCAGGCACCGAGGCCACCTGCTGAGATCTCAGCACGGGGCTCTTAAGTACCTCTTTCCCAACGGATGCCATTGGTGATCAAAAACTTGGCTTTTATACATTTTATAAATGATAGGCCACAACTCCAAACAAAAGAACATCCTCGACAACCACTTTTTCAGTGAATGCTCCCCGCCCAAACAGATGAAAACATGCTCCAGCATTCACTGCAGGCTAACTGCTCCCCGCACACTGAAGGCAGGCAAGTCACATGTGACCAGAGGGGACTTTTCTTTCTAGGTGTCTGAAGGAAAACCATGTAAAATCCTGTCATCTGACAATCCAACTACAGTTCCTAAGTCACCATTCTTTACACTATTCAGACTCACACACATTAACTTCTGAACCTTCCTGATCTAAAATACCAGGCAAGTAGATTTTTCACAGCTGAGGAAACATAAATCAAAAGAATGTAAATCACAGAGTAAACTGGTCAGTTCCGTCAGCTCTCAACTGAACCCAGGACCCCTCATGCCAGAGACTCTCGCCAGGCACCTACCCGCCCAGCACTCCCACTGGTGAGGAAGACAGGCCGAGGCTCGTGCCGGCTCAGAGCAAAAGCTCACACAGAAGGATGCTCATTGTCCAGCTTCCCATGAAACCCAAATGACGTGCAATCTGGCGTCTCTGCTCTGAACCCAGGGAGTGTCGGAGTCTTCAAACATGGCCACTGGGCCCTCCATGTGAGACCCCAAATGAGACCTGAACCACCACCCAGCTGAGCTTTAGCTAACCCTCAGAATTGTGAGAAATAATGTACCAGAAATTAAAAATCTCCACTTCTGGACTAACTTATCAAGGCAGGAAAGAGAAAATAGTTTGGTATGAGTTTTCTATGTGGTGTCAAGAACCTCCAACTTACTTCATCATCTTCATCTTCATCATCATCAGATTCAAGAACACCATCTGGTAGCTCTTCTATAAAGAAAATAAGAATCAATGAATAATGGATAAAGTGGAAGCCTTGGTCCACAGTATCTGTCAGCCTCTGCCGAGACATAAACAACTTAATGAGAATGAGGTTACATCAGAGTAACCATGCTCCTAAACATGACATCATCCTAGCAATTTCAAATAGTAAATCTCTCCATTTTTACCAGAACACGGTTATAGTATTAAAGCCAGCATATAATTTTAGGATAATTCAGGGGAAGGAAAGTAAACAAATATTTATTTCTAGGCATCATGTTAGATCCTGCCACACCTGTTATTTCACCTAATCCTTCCACATATTTTGTTGACTACTATCCCCCATTTTACAGAGAGGTACACAGAGGACAGAGACTTCCCCTTGGTCTCACTTCCAGTAAATGGCAGAGAGTTGAGACTCAAGCCAAGTCTATTTCTAAACTCCATGATTTTTCCATGGGCGGCATGGGTGGTGGTCATGGCAGGTAGGGTTCCTGAAGGCTCTGTAGTTGATTGTGAGATCTTTTTAAGAGTTTACAAAAGAGTGATAAGTTAGTAGCACAATGGAGTTTGCAGAAAGAAAAAGCCCCTGCTTCCTGCCCTGTAGAATGAGGATTGTACTAGCCACTTCTCAGGGTTGTTGGGAGGACTGCACTGTACACCACAAGGAAAGCACCGGGCCCAGGGCCAGGTATGAAGCAGGCACTGCAGAGGTCTTGGTACTTTCTCCTCCACGAAGGCTTCCTTGATCCCCTTACTCAGCAGCCATCTCTTCCTCCCCTGAACACACTCAGAGTTTTGTCTGGAACTCCTGACAGTTCACACCACTTCTGGAAGATCGCTGCTTATTAACAAATGAATGCCCGTCAACTCATCTCCCACCCACTGCACTGGGCTGTGGGTCCCTGGGGACAGAGCAGCTGACTTACTCCTCCTCTATCCCTACTACATCTTCCTTATTAGCACTTGTTTCTTGAACAAATGATATGAAGGTAAAGAAAGGCTGAAAGAAGAAAGGAAGTCAAACAGGAAGTAGGAGAAAAGGAACCAAAGGCCATACTTGAAGAGAGCACCCAGCTTGTAAAGGAGGCGGGCAGATGCACCCACATTTGATCAAACACCAAACCCTTCTCAGGAGGGAAGACTTAGAAACCCATGTTCTCAACCCAGCCCTCATTCTAAAGGGAAGGACTCCACTGACTTCACTGGACTGAGTACAGGGGTACAGCAAGTGGCCCCCCCTCACTGGAGCTTGCAAGCCCCCGTCTCGCAGCATTGTTGTGGAATGTCATGTAGTCTAGAAAGCTACTTTGCAAACATGAAGATGTGATGCCACTCTGCTTTCTGGCTGAGGTTTAACGACTAACTTCCCTATCCATGAACAGCATACGTCATTCTACCGTCAGGAAGCGCCGCTGTACTCAGCAGTTACAAACCGCTCATTTTAGAATACAGAAATGCCTTTTTTAAGACTCTTGGCTGTTTTGTAAGGCAACAGACAGCCCAGCTACACTTCTCTTTCTCTGCTTCCTCTGCCCAGCTCCCCTCCTCCTGACCCCATAACTACTTGCCCTGCGGGCTCAGACTCATCCCACTACCAAAATAATCTGGCCTGAGAAGTGAAGTGCCTTATAGACCTCAGCTCCTCTCTGGGACGACTGTCTCCCATCCTGTTTCCTGGTGCACACTCCAACAGGTGCCTGCACTCTGATAACTAACATGTGTGGGGCTAGAATGGCCAATATCATTCCTTTCCTGGGTGCTCTGCCTTGCTCCTGTCCAGTGACCTGGCTGGTGCCTCTGTTGTCTCTCTGGTGATGGTTCCCCTCGCTGAGGGTTGACATCGTGGTCCAGGCCCAAGCCAGGGACAAATCTCCCTGCTGTTGCTGCTGGCAGCCCACCCTGCATTGTCAATGTCACTAGACAGAATTTTTCTTTAGGCTTTGCCAGAATAGTCCTTCCCACCTGTGGGGTTAGGTCACTAAAATACACTTGAATTTTAATACTTGAAGACCTTAAAACTTTACTGGAAAAATCATTCTAGAAGACTGAGACTGGGCTTGGATGTGTGAAAACCCACAGACATGTTTTCATGTTTACTAAAATAAAACAAGGAAACACACAGTCTAAATAAAGATGGTGGCAATGCCACTTCATACATCTTCAGAACTCGTAAACTAGCAATAATTTGCACTCTGCTATTAATTTCCACGTGAGGATGAAGACAGGACGGAAGCTCCCCTCTGGGTTCCACTTTGATTTGATGCTGATGGATATCCTGAGCACTTGTATGTCTGGTCTTCCATCCTAATGTTCAATCACTATGAAATTTTGTTTCAAAGTGGTGGGCTCCTATGTGGGTACAGATAACTTAGGTGCTTGAGATGGAAAAAGAAATACTTTAGGCCCTCTTTATTGAAACAATAACTTGATGAGTTAAGTAGGTATTTCCCAAGCCTTCCAGAATACTCAGGATTATAAAGCTTTAGCTCTGCGCAAGACAATTTCTTCCAGAAACATCCCTTACAAAAGTGTAAAGTGTCTCCTCATCCCACTCTAGCAGGCTCATCTAAGGGCCAGGCTTATGTAAGAGAAAAAGATGTTTGTTGGGCCAGAGAGTAAAAGGGGCCTGGATCCTGCTGCTTGGCTGCCAGCCAGGAAGGAGGGAAGACAAGGAGACAGATGTATCTCAGTGGACTAAAACACACAGGTGGTCTTGAAGAAGATTCTCAGTCTGAATGCAGAGAACTGGGAGTTCTCTGAAAGGCCTGGGAGGGCTGGGCACAGCTCATGACTATGGTGCAGATGCAACAATCCTCCCCTCCCCCAACACTGTGGCCAGCCCAGAGAAGGCGAGAGAGCAACCTCAGGCAGGACTGAGCTTCAGGCTTTATTTTATTTTTCAATATGCTAGAATGAAGGTTGAGAGTCAGAAATGAAGTTACTGGCAGAAAATAAAGCTCTTTTGGGATGAATTATAGCTGCTCCATACAACCCAAAGAAGAGATATTCAATGTAAATTGAGACCCAGCCTAACAAGGACAAAGGTTTCAAAGCTGCCTGGCTACTCTCCTCAGCTGCCTCCTTTTGATTGGAAGCCCCTTGGACATCCTCATTTCTGTGACCCAGGCATCAGTGATGCTCTGGATTGGCTACATGTGGGACTCCCCTGGGAGCTTGAAATCCCCTCCCCAAGAGATTCTGATTAAATTTGAGTGGGGGGATTAAATTTGAGTGTCTTAAAGATTTAAATATCTCCCCCAGGTGACCACCCTGTACAGCCAGACTGTGAACCCTGAACTCAAAGAAAGGCCACCTGAGGGCTTCCGGCCTTGGCTGAGCAGTTGACCTGTGAGTAGGGACCAGGAGACTCACTCCTCACTTTCTGCTTGTGTGCGGAAGGGATTCGTGCACTTGACTTGCAGTGATGTGGACTACTGGGTATCAGGGAAGGGCATGGAGGGAGACACAGCAACAAACCTGGCCCGGATCCTGGCAGTGCTTGGTACCTCTGGCAGGTGAACAAGTGAGTTCACAGAAAGAGCCAAAGAGCTTTCCCCACCACTGCTGCCCCATCCCAGGCTTCCTGGCCTTCCTCTCTTCTGCTTACTATGGGATGTGGGTTGTTATGGTAATGGAGGATAGAAAGGGTATTGCCAGGTGCGGTGGCTCACGTCTGTAATCCCAGCACTTTGGGAGGCTGAGGAAGGCAGATCAAGATGTCAGGAGATCGAGACCAACCTGGCTAAAATGGTGAAACCCTGTCTCAACTGAAAATACAAAAAGTTAGCCAGGCGTGGTGGTGGGCACCTGTAGTCCCAGCTACTCGGGAGGCTGAGGCAGGAGAATCACTTGAACCCGGGAGGCAGAGGTTGCAGTGAGCTGAGATCATGCCACTGCACTCCAGCCTGGGCAAGCTCCATCACAAAAAAAAATAATAATAATAAAAAATAGGGGATCACGTTGGCTCCTTCCACGCTGTAGTTGGCAACATCAATTTTTCCAGAGTGAATGAAAAATGTGGGAAGGTAATGAAGTTTCCTATAGTGCATTTGTTTTCGTCATCTGACTCCAGGACCCTGGGGAAGCCACCTTAATAGTGGGGCAGGATTTAGGAGTGGAAAGGGAAAGGCCACATAAAGAGAACTTACAAGGTTAGGGAAGCGTTTCTGGAAATGCTTTTAAGTTCTTTTTGTTGACTATATGCCTAGAGTATGATAAGAGATCGTTAATCTTTGGACAATCTGGCCTTGACTACCTGGCTGAACTTTTGTCTGTGGGTTCATTTGGGTCTCCCCACCTCCCTAAAGGCTTTTTTTTTTTGGTGGGGGGATGGAGTCTTGTTCTGTCACCCAGGCTGGAGTGCAGTGGCACAACCTCCGTTCACTGCAACCTCTGCCTCCTGGGTTCAAGCGATTCTCCTGTCTCAGCCTCTCAAGTAGCTGGGACTACAGACACATGCCACCACACTGGGCTAATTTTTGTATTTTTAGTTGAGACAGGGTTTCACCATATTGGTCAAGCTGGTCTCGAACTCCTGACCTCATGATCTACCTGCCTTGGCCTCCCAAAGTGCTGGGATTATAGATGTGAGCCACCGCACCCAGCCTCCTAAAGGCCACTTGAATAAAAGGCCATGTGTCTTGCTGGCAAATGTGAACAATTCAAAAGAGAGATCAAAGAATCTTGCATTAAACTGACCGGAATTAAGCTGCTTGATGATGAATTCTATCTGGCGGATCATTTCGGCATTGCCTTCTTTGATGAAGCAGCGTAGGATGTCTTCCATTCCCTAGAAGCATTGACGAGAGCAACAGTTAACATTTTAATTTAGTGTTTTGGGGGAAACCACTTTTCAATGAGGTCGTTCATCTAATAAAAAATATTTTGGGGAGAAGAAAAGGATACCTTGGGTGGGGGATGGAGAAGAGGGGAGTGATACATCTATGAGATAGATACGAAAATTCAGCTCTCCCAGCAGTGCAGGGCCAAGGTTTGGTAACTGTCTCTCTGGCAAGACAAACCTGGCCCGGTGTCCAACTGGTCCCACGGGGCAGAAAAAAATCCCTGGCTTATACTAAACATTCTTTTTATAATTCATAGTGAAATAATTTTCTTCTTATTGACTATCTGATTGAACTATAACACATTTAGCAAAAAAAAAAAAAAAAAAAAAAAAACTATTGTAAAATTGTACTGCACAATATTGTCTTGGGTTTTTGGCAATATGTTGGTCTGGAAGCTGGTTTCTTTCCTGTGTTTTCCCTAAATTTATAAACTGCCTTCTGGATTTTATGGCCAAATATGATTATTGAGAATGAAAACATATGCTTAGAGAAGTAAATGAACAAATAGAACCTCTCTTTAAACAGATTTCGTTCCTTTTCTTTTAGATGGAGTTTTGCTCTTGTTGCCCAGGCTGGAGTGCAATGGTGCAATCTCGGCTCACCGCAACTTTGACTCCTGGGTTCAAGTGATTCTCCTGCCTCAGCCTCCCGAGTAGCTGGGATTACAGGTGCCGGCCACCATGTCCAGCTAATTTTTTTTTGTATTTTTAGTACAGACGGGTTTTCTCCATGTTGATCAGGCTGGTCTCGAACTCCTGACCTCAGGTGATCCGCCCACCTCAGCCTCCCAAAATGCTGGGATTACAGGTGTGAGCCACTGCATGTGGCCCTAGATTTCATTCTCTCTCTATTAAAAGAATTATAAAGTCACTACACTATACATTATTTATTATAACACCCTGACACCAGAATTTTTAACATTGTGTAAAAGAATTCCAGGGAAAAGTAGGAATAAGATACTGACTTAAGCACATTGTCTAATTCCCCTCCTCCTTCCTGGCAAGATTTAAATGAGTCTGTAGGGGAGTTGAGGAGGCCTCTGACCACTGTGAGGAAAGAGTGCCTCTATTATTAACTCAAAACAGAGGAAGCAGAGTCCAGAAGTACTGTCAGAAAAACGGAGCTCTGACATGTGAGCCTTTATCAAACTGTGCCTGAAGATTTTCCTGGACTTTTCTGTTACATGAGCCAATTAAGTTCTGTTTTTATATAGGATAGTTAGGAATTAATAGCTCTAACTGAATCAAAGAAATGCCAAGTGCAGCTTTGAACATGCTAGGTTCTTATTGTTCATGCTGAGTTCTTATCATACAAAGCAGGGTATTACCTTCTAGAAAAGTCAAATCAGTATTATAACTGTAATTAGCTCCCCCATAAATTTAATGTGTGACCTCACTCAAATCACTCATCTTCATCTAGCTAGTGTGTTTCTTCAACTATAAAAATGAGAATCACAATTTGAGATGACTTGAAATTTTTAAAAGACAAAGTACAGAACTGGGTGTTGGTATGCTGATATCACATTTGTCCAGATGCACTAAACTGTCCCATGTAAGGCCTGTGTTTTTCACTGTTTGTAAATTACACCTGAAGAAATAGCCTCTAGTCAAATGGCTGGCACAGAGTGGATGCTTGATAAATGGTCACGATTGTGCTTGCTGTGTCCAGTCGCGGCTCGTGGCTCAGGAGACAGATCTGTTAGCAGAAGCAAAGGGAGGAAACAAGGTTCCCCAATGATAGCAGTGAGAGAAGAGCAGAGGATGAGGATAGAACCTTAGGGAGCAGCAACACTGGGCTGGGAGGCAGAAACGGCTAAGCTCACAGAGGAGGCGGTGACGGTCTGGAAGGGAGGAAGAACTCTGGAAAGGTGTCCATGAGTTGAGGGACCAGTGTGCTCAGGGTCCTGTGGGACCAGCTGGACACCTGGCCAGGCCTGTCTTACCAGAGAGACAGTTACTAATTAATGACTGCCTTGGCCCTGCACTGCTGGGAGAGCTGAATTTTATATCTCTCACAAATGTGTCTCTCCCCTCTTCTCCATCCCCCACCCAATGTAAGGGCCACAAGGAGAAAGTTATCAAGCAAAAGCAGTGCAATATGCCCCTTTTTCAAAATTTTATTTTATTTATTTTTTTGAGATGGAGTCTCACTCTGTCATCCAGCCTGGAAAACAGTGGCATGATCTCGGATCACGGCAACCTCCACCTCCCAGGTTCAAGTGATTGTCCTACCGTCTTAGCCTCCTGAGTAGCTGGGACTACAGGCATGTGCCACCAAGTCCAGCTAATTTTTGTATTTTTAGTAGAGACAGGGTCTCCCCATGTTAGCCATGCTGGTCTCAAACTCCTGACCTCAGATGATCTGCCCACCTTGGCTTCCCAAAGTGCTGGGATTACAGGTGTGAGGCGTCGTGCCCGGCGATAAGCCTCTTAACTGGCAAAGATCAGAACCACTACTGGCTGTCTTAGGAATGTCAATGTCTGAACATTTTTACCAGTGGAGTGAGACCAATCATTCACTCAAGTTCTCTTCTATCTTTTCCTCCCAGATGTTACTTCTGCAAGATTATTTGCTCAATATTTAATTTTTGTTTAAAAATTTTTTTTGAGACAGGATCTCACTTGGTTGCCCAGGCTGGAGTGTAGTGGTGTGATGACAACTCATAGCCTGAACCTACCTGGCTCACGCGATCCTCCCAACTCAGCTTCTGGAATGGCTGGGACTATAGGTTTGCACCAACATGCCTGGCTAATTTTTTTTTAAATTTCTGGTAAGACAGGGGTTGGCCAGGCTGGTCTCAAAACTCCTGCCCTCAAGCGATCCTCCCGCCTTGGCCTCTCAAAGTGCTGGGATTATAGGCATGAGCCACCATGTCCAGCCAGATGTTTTTATTCTCATTTACTCTCTTTCATGTATCTTTAGCTTAGTTATTACTTGGGGGAAAAAAAAATCCAGCTTCTCTGTAATGAGGAATTGAAGCTATCTTTTTTGTTTTTGAGACAGTCTTACTCTGTTGCCCAGGCTGGGGTACAGTGCCACAATCTCAGCTCACTGCAACCTCCACCTCCCAGGATCAAGTAACTCTCATGCCTCAGCCTCCTGAGTAGCTGGGATTACAGGTGTATTACCACCACACCTGGCTAATTTTTGTATTTTTAGTAGAGAAGGGGTTTCCACCATGTTGGCTAGTCTGGTCTTGAACTCCTGATCTTAAGTGGTCCACATGCTTCAGCCTCCCAAAGCGCTGGGATTACAGATGTGAGTCACACACCTGGCCAAAATATCATGTATTTTTTAAAAATCACATACATTAGGTGAGATTTAATCTAAGTTATAGAAAGAAGTTATAAAAATCACATTTTATCCTGAAAGTAACTTGTCATTTCAGATAATTCAGGTCAAGTAACAATGCCCAGGTAGACAGAAAGACAATAAAAGGTACTAGTGAATCAGCCAGATGTATAAAAATGGGAACACAGGGCTGGGTGCAGTGACTCACGCCTGTAATCCCAGCACTTTGGGAGGCTGAGATCAGGAGCTTAAGACCATCCTGGCTAACATGGTGCAACCCTGTCTCTACTAAAAATATAAGACATTAGCCAGGCATGGTAGCACACACCTATAGTCCTAGCTACTTGGGAGGCTGAGGCAAGAGAATCGCTTGAAGCCGGGAGGTGGAGGTTGCAGTGAGCCAAGATCATGCCACTGCACTCTAGCCTGGTGGCAGAGGGAGACTCAGTCTCAAAACAGAAGTGGGGTGGGGGGTGGGGGACACAAGCAGTGTGCAAAAAGTTGGTAAGGAACTCCTGCCAGCTAGCTATGATTACAGACCATCGTAAAGATCATCATACAGAATGCTATATTTGTATGCATAGGGTTTAAGAACAGAAAACAATTTGTTATGTGCAGACGTCTGACTAGGTGAAAGTCCCAACTTTGGAGTGATGCCACAGCACAGGTTTGGAGGGCTTGGGAGGCAAGCCAAGGTGCGCAGCCCCTCACCGGCCATGCGGCCCTGAGCAGAGGATTTTATTTTTAAGCACTGATTTTGCCAGGAGCAAAATGGGCACAACTGCAGTCACTCGTTCAAGGGACCTTTCAGGGACTAAGTAAGAGAAAGCATCTCTCCCAGAGCCTCAGAACATACACTGAACACTACACAGAACAACTATCTTCAAACTCACTTCTACCTTTATGCAACAATGAAACTCTAGCGCATTCTATAGTTCCAGCTTCACGGTCTAATCCTCTATCATTAAAGGTCTTCAAGGGAAATTTCCTCCTGAGAAATTCAAATATCTGTTTCAGGTAGATATAAATATTTTCCTCTAGTTATGAAAGTGATACAAGTTATCTATAGAAAACTTGCAAACAACTTAAAAGAAAGAATAAAAATTACTCACGGGCCCCCACCCAGAGATAATTGAGAACATTTTGAGGTGTTTCCTTCCTTTTATGTGCATTGTTTTATGTAACTCAGAACATACTGATAATATGTTCTTAACTTTATGATCATTTTCATGTTCAATAAAAACTTATAAACCATATTTCCATAGCTACAATAATAATAGCTGCTAACATCTCTCAACACTTACTGTGTGCTAGGCACTGCTCTAAATATATTATGAGCTCCGTAACGCTCACAATCCTATGAGTTTGGTACTGCAATAATCCTCATTTTACAGATGGAAAAACGATTACCCAGAGACCTTCAGTCCTCACTAGCCCACACAACTAGGAAGTAACAGAACACGATTCAAACCCAGCCTCAGGCTCAGGAGTTCCCACTCTGAAGCACTTCACCTTCTGGCCTCTGTTCTTAGTCACTCCCTCATCTTAAGTCATGTCATTGTTTTCTGACTTTTGCTATGATCAGTAAGGCTGGAATGAACATTCTGATACATACATATTTGCTCATGTCTTGTGTGGAGCTTCAGAAGTAGAA